CATTTCTTCACTAGATTATTTGTTTTTTGGGTGTTGAGTGTGATGAGTTCTTTATAGCTTTTGGATACTGACCCTTTATCTGATATGTCATTTGCAAATATTTTCTCCCATTCCATCGGTTGCCTTTTAGTTTTGCTGATTGTTTGCTTTGCTGTGCAGAAGCTTTTTATTTTGATGAGGTCCCAATAGTTCAGTTTTGCTTTTGTTTCCCTTGCCTCCGGAGATGTGCTGAGTAAGAAATTGCTGCGGCCAAGATCAAAGAGGTTTTTGCCTGTTTTCTCCTTGAGGATTTTGATGGCTTTCCTGTCTTACATTTAGGTCTTTCACCCATTTTGAATTTATTTTTGTGTATGGTTTAAGAGAGTGGTCCAGGTTCATTCTTCTGCATGTCGCTGTCCAGTTTTCCAACACCACTTGCTGAAGAGACTGTCTTTATTCCATTGGATATTGTTTCCCGCTTTGTCAAAGATTAGTTGGCCATACGTTTGTGGGTCCATTTCTGGTTTCTCTATTCTGTTCCGTTGATCTGAGTGTTTGTTTTTGTGCCAGTACCATACTTGGCACAATCTTGATGATTACAGCTTTGTATTACAGCTTGAAGTCCAGGATTGTGATGCCTCCTGCTTTGGTTTTCTTTTTCAAGATTGTTTGGGGTCTTTTCTGGTTCCATAAAATTTTAGGATTGTTTGTTCTAGCTCTGTGAAGAATGCTGGTATTTTGATAGGTATTGCATTGAATATGTTGGTTGCTTTGGGTAGTATTGACATTTTAACAACATTTGTTCTTCCTATCCAGGAGCGTGGAATATTTTTCCATTTTTTTGTGTCTTTGATTTCTTTCATAAGCTTTCTATAGTTCCTGAAAACTATAGTTTTCTGTATTTTTTTTTAATTTGTTTTGAGAGAGAGAGAGAGTCCCACCTGACTCCACACTGTTAGCGCAGAGCCCATAGTGGTACTTGAACCCACCAACTGTGAGATCACGACCTGAGCCAAGATCAAGAGTTGGATGCTTAACTGACTGAACCACCTAGGCGCCCCTAGCATGTTCTTTTTTTAAAAAGTTATTTTAATGTTTATTTATTTTTGAGAGAGACACAGCATGAGTGGGGGGAAGAGTAGATAGAGGAAGACACAGATCGCAAGCAGGCTTCAGGCTCTGAGCTGTCAGCACAGAGCCTGACGCAGGGCTGGAATTCACAAACTGTGAGATCATGACCAGAGCTGAAGTTGGACACTTAACCAACTGAACCCACCCAGGTGCCCCTAGCATGTGTTTTTAATATCTGTAAGATAGTAACTTCATATGGGTGTGCTAAACTAGTTGTCTCCTGTTTTATGGTAGTGTAAGTAGCACCACTTTTAACCTAATTATATGTGCATTTCTGTTTATTTACTTAGAATACATTTCTAGAAATAGAATTGCTGAGTCAGAGGATGTACCTACAATATCAAAGCTTTTGGGTATATTTTATGTTTTATTTTAGTGAACTCCATTTAGCAACTACATGGCCTCACCTGACTGAAGGTATCATTGTGGATAATGATGTTTATTCGTAAGTATTTAAGAGTTATTATATTGAGTATTATATTTATTCAGTAGAATAAATTAACTGCCAGGTGGTTAGCAACTTTCCTTTTTCTTTATATCAGCTTCTGATAAGGTTAGTTGATTTTTCTACTTTAAAGATTGCTTTTTAGACTGATTAAATATGTATTAGAGATGTGTTTTAAGCTGCTGACTTTGGGGATGTGATCTTTAGCTCAGGGATAATGAAGAATCTTTTTTTGTTAAGTTTTTATTTTAATTCCAGTTAACATATATATTAGTTTCAAGTTTAAATATAGTAATTCAACACTTCCATACATGACCTATGCTCATCACGAGTATACTTCTTAATTCCCACTGCCTATTTAACTCCCCCTCCACCCAAAGAATCTTAGTCTTACTTTGTTTTAGCAAGGATGTCTCTAAGCAGATTCTCTAAGCAGGGATTCAGTGCATAATTCTTTTGAATTTTTTTAGCTGGTTAGAAGCATTTCCTGAAATACTTTAAGAAATAATGGTCATCAGAATGTGCAGGAGTAATACTTGATCATTAAATGTCATAAGTAACAAAACATGTCAGTCATGTACTCTTGTGTGATGGAAACAACTAAAAAATTATAGCAGGTATTATCTAGGAAGAATGTGGAGAAAGAGGAACACCATTTTAGTACTTTCTCATGCATGATGCAAACAGTGAGAAGTAGGACACTTTTTTTGTTGTAATTGAAATAAATGTATTGTGTTTGTTAATATTAAAAAAATTACATGAGCTTTCTTAATTAGATAAGTTAGATGGGTATAGAGAAGAAAATAAGGACTACATAGAAACCTATTACTTAAAAAATAGCATTTTGGGGTGTATCCTTTTTTTAAAAAATGAGTTATAATTGATATGTAACATTCTATTTCACATGTACAGCAGAATGATTCCGTAGTTGTGTGGGAGTATATCTTTTTAAAGTTTAAGTTTACATATTTGCTTTATTTAGTGTATTACTTTACATTCTTATGCCTGTAAATATAGGTCTGTGTTGTTATTTTTAAAATTGCTGCATAGTATTCCATTAAGTGTATGCACAGTAATCTATTTAGTTGAGAAAATAGGGCACTTTTGATCTTGTGCAAATTTTTGTGGTCTTTGTTTTTAATATTGTTATAAAGTGATGAAGGTGATTGTGCATACTTGCTTGTTTCTTGTTTCTTTTTTAGTATTCCTAAAATTAATTGTTTTATTAGATTATCAGTGTATATTGCCTGTTCAGAATAATTTTCATATGTGTGCTTTCATTATTCTGTTTTGATTGTGGTTTTTCCTTTTGTACTTTTTTGTCTATAAACTTTGACTTCTTAAGATTATGTATTTTTTAAAACTTATCCAAATGACTTTATGCATCCGAGTAACAGTAAGTTTAAGGGAGGCAAAATGGATTGCTTGTCATTTTATATAATTAATTAGACTGCATTTTGATAAATTGATGAGTTGCAGATTGTCATAATTAGGATCTTCCGTTTATTGTTTTGCATTTAGTGATTTGGATCCTATTCAGGCTCCCCATTGGTCTGTTAGAGTTCGAAAAGCTGATAATCCTCAGTGTTTGCTAGGTAAGACATACTTCTGTTACTTTCTTGAAATTATGTTCTTTCCCCACCATTCTGCCTGTCTTCTAGATTAGGAAGACTGAATGTATTCTTTATACTTTATTTCACCTATCAAAAGGGTATATTTGGGTTTTTTTGTGTGTGATCTCGGGTAACATCACTGTAAAAGAAATCTTTGGCAACAGTAACACACCCTAGTTACTCTTAAATAGCACTAGCAGGATTTCTTTCTCATCTTTTAGCTTTAACCAGTTTATACCTCAGAATGCTTGGATGTTTTCTCGTGATCTGAGTTTTATTCTTCTAATGCTTTTATGTCACTCCCTTTTTTTCCTCTTGTGGCAGTTTGCATCTTCCATTCTTGTTAGTGCAGCACTTTCTGTGTTTTGTCATCCTCTGGACCTGTGGTATATGATGGAAGGAATACTGATTTGACAGTCTAATTAGAGCCCCACCATACAGTTGGACCACGTCTGCAAACTTGTTTTCTGATAGAGGAAAAGAGGTGTAAATAATACTGTACGTCTCATAGGCTTATTTGAAAATCAAGTGAAATACTAGAAATACTTTGAAAAATGTTGATTTGCCATTGAAATAATATTATTGTATCCCATATCTGGCATTATCATTCTCTTATTATTTTGGTAGGTGTATCTCTTTGATGAAGTCTTTTGAACCCATCTCTCCTCAGTGTGTCTTTGCATTTTTTTCTCACATTTAGTACACATGAAAATATTTTCTCCATTTCCATGTTCATCCAAGCCAGTTCACTCTGTATAACCTGATATATTACCATTCAACAAATGGAGTTACTACATATTTACTGATGACAGTAATGATGCATTTCTCTAAAGCATCATTTTTTGGGGTTCTTTAAAATTAATCATATGCTAGAGGTGACTGGGTGGCTCAGTTGGTTAAGCTTCCAGCTTCGGCTCAGGTCATGATCTCATGGTTCATGAGTTCGAGCCCTGCATCGGGCTCTATGCTGACAGCTTGGAGCCTGGAGCCTACTTTAGATTCTGGGTCTGCCTCTTTCTCTGTTCCTCCACCACTCACTCTTTCTCTCTCAAAAATAAAGATCACACTGTCTTTCTCTCTCTCTCAAAAATAAAGATTTTCAAAAAATTAATCATATGCTCTTCATTAAATGCTAACTAGCATTTGACATGTTTTGCTAATTATAGAATGGTGAATACAAAGATGTATAGGTAAAATTCCTTCCATTGGTGAATCTGTCTTGGGGTATTAGGAAGATGGTAGAGGGTTGATATTAAGAGTTTTAGAATTGGATAGACCTTATTTTAAGTCTTAGGTCTGTCAGTTTGAGCAAGTTTCATTAATTTCTTCTCAGTAAAATAGAGATAACCACAGTATATACATAGAGGTCTTGAGAGGATCAAATATGATTGGGCACAAGTGTGTTTGTGTATCACATTTAATACAGTGCTTATCATATAGTAAATGCTCAATAGTTTCTCTTGCTTATTCATTGAATTATTAAATTGTTAAACTTATTTACTAAATTGTTTCCTAGTTTCTTATTGTTCCTCATCCACTGACTTCTGATAATTGCAGAGGACCTTAGAATTTAAGTATTCTCATTTTAAGGGGTGCCTGGTTGGCTTAATCGGTTAAGCATCTGACTTATGCTCAGGTCATGATCTCACAGTTCCTGGGTTCCAGCCCTGCCTCTGTGCTGACAGCTCAGAGCCTGGAGCCTGCTTTGGATTCTGTGTCTTTCTCTCTCTGCCCCTCCCCTGCTCATGCTCTTTTTCTAAAAAGGAATAAAAAAACATTAAAAGATTTTAAAAAATGTATTCTCATTTTAAGTTATTGTTCCATGATCCCACCCAACCTCTTTGATTTTATACATTTATATGACTAGATTATAGGACTCTATAGTCATATATAATTGACTAGAATCGTGTAGTTTATATAATTGAATTATAGGATTATTTTACTTTTCTGAAGAAGTCCAGAAAGTGTTCTAGATTTACTTAGAACTAGTTGGTGAATTCTAAAACATAGATGTCCTTGTTATCTTGTATTGTGTAGGAATTTTAGTACTGATGGTTCTGGTTAAACACTAATTTTTTGTACAAACATCTTACTGCAGCTCTTTAGAAAATATCAAATCTTTTCCCCTTTATAATAATGACATAAAGTCTACCATTAATATACAGCTGAAGGTAAAATAATTTTATACTATCTAATTTCTTAATCTTCTAGAAACATATCTTTAGAATTTCTTTTTATTTTAATTTTTTAATGGACTCCGAGGTCTAGAAGGGTGGCAGTTAGGGTGACATTATGTGCATATAGTAATATTCTTGTTACTTCTACAACTCAGAACAGATATTATTTATCTTATTCAGGTACATAGTAAGTACGTAATATTTTTAGGTGCAGTTACTTTTCCTTTCATTCTAGAAAGAATTCTGAGGAAAAACTTTTTTTATATCCTACGACATGGAGAGAAAGGAAGAACAAGGCTACCTTTGACATAGGATTAATTTTTGTCTTGGGTGGAAAAACTGGTTTATTTTTCTACCACATATTCTAGCTTTTGTGAAAAGACATACTTTAATTTGTAGAACTGATTTCTTTTAGTTAAGTCAAAGATGAGTAACATTTTTTTCTGCGTAGGTGATTTTGTCACTGAATTTTTTAAAATTTGCCGTCGAAAGGAGTCAACTGATGAGATTCTTGGACGATCCACATTTGAGGAAGAAGGGAGAGGTGACCTACTTTCTTTTCTTTTTTTTTTTTTTTTTTTAAGTTACTTTCAAATGTCTAACCCTTTTTCCTTGGCACATTTTTCTGGCAACTTTTCATCTATTTTCACATTTGAATGAAGTTGGAAAAGGAAGTTTTGATGGACTAGACTGCTACTGTTTCTCTCCAGGTTATACCCTGAGCTTAAAACATTAAGCACTTTTAATAAGTTCTTTCTACCAAAAATGTAAGATATTTTGTAAAGCAGGGTTTTTAAAGGTTTATTTTTGAACTTCTGGGGAGAAATGATTTGTGTTATACCATTGTCAATCATGGATGCATATAAAGCTGAATATGTGTATTAAAATTTTAGAATTCTGAGATGATATAACACCAGTGAAAAGAGTGACTAAAATATTTTATACAATCAACTGTTTGCTCATCACTTTTACTTGCTAAGGTTGGTGATATAATGTGTATTTGTTTCTATTCTTTTTATAGAAATTGCTGATATAACTCATGCTTTGTCAAAGTTGACAGAGCCAGCACCGGTTCCAATTCATAAATTATCAGTTTCAAATATGGTACATACTGCAAAGAAGAAAATACGAAAACATAGAGGTGTAGAGGAGTCACCACTGAATAATGATGTCCTCAATACTATTCTCTTGGTAACTAAATGTAGTATCTTTGTATGTCTGTGTGCATATTCATTTCTTCATTATCTGTTCAGTTCCTTCTATGTGGCAAGCACAGGATTGGGAATATAAAATGAGTAAAACAAAGTCTCCGAATACAGTGAATTCCCACTGTTGCACGGGAGAAGCCTGGCATAATGGCTGTGAGAACACAGTAGAGGATGTATATTTCTCTACCTGGGCAGTTGGAATCAGGGAAGGCATCATAAAGAGGGGCATGTGAGTTGCATCCTGAAGAGAAGGCTGTAGAAAGAGAGAAACAGCAGAGATGTGAGAAAGCATATTGAGCAGTTTGATGTATTGTAGGGTGCTTTTCAGGAACAAGGGCTGGAGAGATAGCAGGTAACCCGCCATACTGAAACACTGGGCTTTATATTGCAGTTTCATACTGTTTTAAGCAGAAGGTCAACATCAGAGTTGTGTTTTTGAAAACTTCCTTTAACAAAAGTCTAGAGAAACTTTTTAGTAAGTACTAGAAGGAGCTTAGGTGTCTTTTAGGTATAGAGTGGTGGAACAGGCCCAGCCTGGGCCCACCAGGGTTTAATCCTGACTTACTATATAATTTTGAAGAAGTCATTTAATTTCAGTTTCGTCATCTATAAATGAGGGTAATAAAACCCTGTGAGTTTGCTGGGAGGATTAAAGGACCTTCTGTTATGCGCCTGGCATATAATAGGCCTCTGATAAATGATAGCTGTTCTTAGTATAATTGTAGTTATAATAATACTTCTGGCTATTTTTGCATTAAGACCATCTTGGAAACAACCTTTGAGTAGTGGAAAGAAGAGAATACAGGACTTGCAAACTTGATGTTGATCTCATCTTTGCCATTAATCTGAATGAGCCTCTTAACCACATTTTCAGTTTGTATATCTGTAGGAAGTGGGCAGTAACACACAATGGTATTAGTAGGATATTGTTTGCAAATGTACTTGGTAGTGAGAGTTGGTACATAGTAGTTCCTCTAAATTAAAAAAAAAAAAATGTCTTGGCATGTTCTGTAATGTGTGGCAACATGTGCCTAGTAAAAGGAATCACAAGTCAGCAGTACCACAAAACACTTGGGAGGAACAGTGTAAAAAAGACTGAAAAGTAAAAGGACTGAAAATAAATTTTTGCACAGAAGGCCCTTCTTAAGAATATATCCTTAGAGATTTTATTCTAGTTATTTAGCTTGGCTGTCATATGCACTGTTTTTTTGTTTTGTTTTGTTTTTTGTTTTTTGCTTTTTTTTACTATTCCTACACACACATAAACCACATTGAAAAGATAAACTGGTCATTACAGGTTTAGGCAGCTTCCCACTTTCAAGGGGTATTTTGTAAAGTTATGGTGTTAAATATCATACTCTTAATATTTCATGTATGAAAACTCATGGATGATAAATGATAGCTGTTCTTACTATAATTGTAGTGGAAAACTTCATGGAACCTCATGAATATATGGATGTTTAAAATTTTTCTCTTATGTTTTGTCTTTAATACTTTTAAGGAGATTTAATGATCTTGGATCATAATGAAGAAATTTTGGTTTTGCATTGTTTAGTTTACAAATCCAGGTGGTTACATTGGAGGAAAATCTCTGATTTCCACAATTGGCTAATTGCTGAAACTGTATTTTCAAAGAAAGACAAAAAATATTTGATACAGTGTAGAACCACAGGCCAGTACAGTGAGAACATTTCCATTTTTAACAGCAAAACCATTAAAAAATAAAATAGTATTTATATGAGTTATGAATATACACAAAGTAGTAAATTTGGTTGAAATGTGTTTTTTTTCCTTCTAAGTTCTTATTCCCTGATGCTGCTTCTGAGAAACCATTAGATGGAAGTTCTGCAGTAGATAATAATAATCCTCTATCAGAGAGTGAAGAATATGTAAGTTGGTTGGAGTTTAATATTAAAATATTTAAAATGTATTGAATTTCTAGAGGTTGCTTTATTGCCAGTTTGGTGGCATAAGCATCATTTTATTTTATTATTTATTTTATTTTATTTTATTTTATTTTATTTTATTTTATTTTTTTAACCTTTTTTAAAAATTTATTTACTTAAGAGACAGAGTGAGCAAGCAGGAAGGCTCAGAGAGAGAGTGAGGGACAGAGAGAGAGAGAGAGAGAGAGACTATCCCAAGTAGGCTCCATGTTGTTAGCACAGAGCCTGATGTGGGTCTGTATCTCACAAACCATGAGATCATGACCTGAGCTGAAATCAAGAGTTGGACGCTTAACAGACTGAGCCTTCCAGGTGCCCTGGATCTTTGTATTTTAAAAATCACCTTAGGAAAATTTGAGTAGACATTATGGCCTCCACTCAGATTATGACCTATTACATTGGCCATTGATCTGTATTTTGGGTAGTAAGAGCTTTTCTGGAAACAGTGAAAAAAATATATTGTGCATGATTGTAGGATTTCTTTCATTGTAGACTTTTTGTAAACTTAACAATTTGATGTTTTGCAACAGTTTCTTCTCTTTCAAAACTAGACAGTGAGTGGAGAACTAATGAAATAAACTGTATAAAATGAAGTAAAATTTTCATGTGTTTCTTATCCAAGTCTTGGATAAATTGAGTAATGAGATGTTTAAGGGACAGGTGTAGAGATAAACTATTTTCGGTAGTTACTCTTGGGAACTAGATTTCATGAAATGAGGAAAAACAGGCTTTTTATTTTTAGTTCTGATTTTGTATGTTTGGTTTTATTAATAAGTTTATATTCATTTATAATTAAAAGATTTTTAAAGCAACATGTTTGGATTACATCTTGAAGATGCCACAGAAGAAATGGAAAGTTCTGACTTTCGCTTCACTGAACTACAGCCTCATTTTTTTGGTCCTTGAAGAAATCTTAAAAACATGGGACTACCTAAAAACAATTAAGGCAGTAATGTATTAAACATTTGATAAAAGCTAGTTTGGTAGGATAGGTTGATTTAGTATTAAAACCTCCCAGTTTTTGGTTACGCCTGCACATATGTTGTTAACAAGTTTTTCTTTGTTTCTGCTTTGTTAAATTCAGAATCTCTACAATCAGTTCAAATCTGCACCATCTGACAGTTTAACATACAAGTTGGCTTTGTGTCTTTGTATGATCAATTTCTACCATGGAGGATTGAAGGGAGTGGCACACCTCTGGCAGGAATTTGTTCTTGAAATGCGTTTCAGATGGGAAAATAACTTTCTGATTCCAGGGTAATAATTTCAATTTCTGTTTGTATACGTAGGCTTTTTGTTTGTTAGAAGAATTATACTTTTGATACATTAATTCTCCTCTTCTAGGAAATCTGCCCTAAGAAAGTGGTAAGAAACTTTGAACATGATTTATATTCACAGGTGTTCATTGTGTCAGATTTATAATAGGGAAAAAAAGGGAAGCAACCTAAGTACCAAACATAAAAGAGTAGTATAAATCATAATGTATGTCTACAATGGAAAGTTATGGACCTATTACAAGTTTTTTCCAAAAATCTGCTAACATAGAAAATGATCATAATATTTGCAAGAAAGTAGATTATAGTGTTGTGTACACTAAGTGCTTTCAGTTTTGCTTATCTGTATTTATAGAAAAATAATTGGGAAGAAATAAAGCCAAATGTTAACAGAAATTTCCCTGAGTGTGAAATTATATTTTTATTTTTGTTTTTTATAGATTTGTGTATTTTCTAAGTCTTCTATAGTAAACATATTTTTATAGGTGAAGAGAAAACATCTTTAGAGTTCATAAGTTCAGATATTGAACGTTGCCTGTAATTTTTTTTTTGTGGATTTATGTTGACATTTCACTTAATAAAATAGCTACCAAATATTTTGATATTGCATAGGTTACTGCTCATCTACGCATACTAAGGCAGAATTATAATATGAGTAATATGAAATGGTGATTGAGCCAAAAATATTTATACTTGTGTCAGTTGCTAGTCTCTCTTAGCTGGATTATCTCTTGGCTGATTATTGGAAACCTAGTGGTGTAGAAGAGGTGGTTTAAGCTCCCCTTGGCAAAGAGAGGTGGAGAACAGTGGTTTTTTATATTGAGAATAATAATTGAGAACTGAATATATAATCTAATCTGTTTTGTATAGTGTGAAACACTGTATCCTAGCTACTTCCTGAGGTGGATTTAGAGACATTTTAAGTTTCTCTTAACTTGAGAGCTATTACTAGTTTGCTATTAAGCTTTGAAAAATATATTCGCTGTTGGTGGACTACAAGGATAAAACAAATTTTGATCTTTTAGTCTTACTTCATTTCAATTATCTTACCTGTTGAAATCTTTTGATTTCTTATCATTATGGTTAAAATTTATAGTAGCAAATAAATTTGCATACCTGAAGCCATTTTACTAAAACTAACTTTTCCCGCTACTTTATTTGATAGATTAGCAAGTGGACCCCCAGATCTAAGATGTTGTTTACTGCATCAGAAACTACAGGTAAAGATTTCTCAATGACAGTATCTAAATATGGTCTTAATTTAATTGGAGCTTATTCTAATACTAAATGTAATAATGGGTTATATACTATTCTCATCATGCTACTGTAGATTACTTACAGTTACTGTCATTCACAAGAAGGTCCAGGGAAGGAATGGGAAGGCAAATTAAATATTGAAGAAGTGGATAGGTTTTTATTTAACTGTAACTAATTTAAATACAAATGTTATTTTTGTTTTCTTAAGATGTTAAATTGTTGTATTGAAAGAAAGAAGGCCCGTGATGAGGGGAGAAAGACAAATACTTCAGATATGTTTCCAGGGGATGCTGGAAAAGCTGGAGACCAGCTGGGGCCGGATAATCTAAAAGATACTGATAAGGAAAAGGGAGAGGTTGGAAAATCTTGGGATTCTTGGAGTGACAGTGAAGAAGAATTTTTTGAATGCCTAAGCGATACTGAAGAACTTAAAGGAAATGGACAAGAGAGTGGCAAGAAAGGAGGACCTAAGGAGACAGCAAGTTTAAAACCAGAAGGACGACTACATCAGCATGGAAAACTCACTCTGCTACATAATGGAGAACCACTCTACATTCCAGTGACCCAGGTAGGATATGGACTGGTTCTGTAAGTTTTGATTATTTTTATTTTGTTGTTCGTATCTTCATCCTAGTAGGAAATGGTTGCTTTGGGTAGGAGCAATTCTTTAAGCAGTCTTTGTTCAAAGATCTAAGATTTGAAATCTAAATTAACTATTGGGGGCTTTCAGGTATTTCCATTTCTGAAATTGAGAAATGCTTTGAAGTTTAGGTAAATAGTAGTTCCTTATGGTAAGGTGATCGGTTATTTCTTAAACTAAGTGGTGAGTACACAGGTCTTTAAAAAATAAAATCCAAAAAGAGGAGAGGAGGAACAAAAGTAAAAATCCTTTTATTTATATGACTATTTTTTTTTAATTTTTTTTAACGTTTATTTATTATTTAGAGACAGACACAGAGTGTGAGCAGGGGAGGGGTAGAGAGAGGGGAAGACACAGAATCTGAAGTAGGCTCCACCCTCTGAGCTGTCAGCACAAAGCCCGACATGGGGCTCGAACTCACGAACTGTGAGATTATGACCTGAGCCGAAGTCAGTCGCCCAACCAACTGAGCCACCCAGGTGCTCATATATGATTAGTTTTATCTGTTCAAAAATAAAGTGAAGCCATTTTAAAACATTAGGAAGTAGAACAGAAACAACACAACACCTAAGGTAGAGCAATAGTTTTTTGGGGGTTGTTTTTGCATAAACAACATGTGGGTATGTTTTATTGTGAAAAACCCAGTTTAGAAGTAAAAGCCACTACCCACTAATTCAACTCTCATCTCTAGAAGTAGCCACTATTACTGGTTTGCGTTATAGTTTCTTATACCTGATACTATGCATTGATGTACATACATGTGTATACATATGATACATAGTTTTGTGGATTTTTTTTGGTTTGTTTTTAAATGTGTGCATTAAACAACTTTTTGTTTAACCTAATATGTCTTGGGATCTTTCCATGTCAGTACATGTAGATCCACTTTATTTCTTTTTAATTGCTGTCTACTATTCCATGGTGTAGAAGAGCCATAGTTTATTTAACCATTTCCTTCTTGATGCACAATAGATGTTATTGCTAGATTTTGCTATTACAGTGCTACAGTACAGATTCTTGTAGTTTCTCACATTGTGTGTTCACATTTGAGTGTTTCTTAAGAAAATAAGAAATGGAATTGCTAGATAAGCAGATATACAAGCTATGAAATTGCTCTTCAAAAGGCTGTACCTATTTTATACTCTAGTCAATGGTGAATGTATAGGAATAAGGAAATATTGTTCTCTATTCAGCTTTCCTTTCTTGTTTTCTTCCTTGCACAAATATTTATTGAGTGCCTAATGTATGCCAACTACTGTTCTATAACTTGGGAATATAGCAGTAAACTTGACAGTAAGGTTCTTGCACTCATGGTACTTAACATTCATACTTAATTTTGTTATAAACAATTGATATTACCAGTCATATAAATTTTAGACAGTATGGTGGACAAAAGTATTATCTCAATGTTTTAAATTGTTTTCTCTGATTTTTCATGAACTGAAGCATCATTTAGTATGTTTCTTGGCCATCTTTTCCTTTGACTTGCCTATTATTTTTCATTTAGGTTTCTGACCTCTTCTTACTGATTTGTATTAGTCCTTCATATTTTAGATAGATATAAACCCTTTGTTATATATACTGTACGTGTTTTTTCCTAGTCATTTAAAAAACATTTATTTGCTTGTTTATTGATTTATAAATTATATATAAAGTGCACAAATTTTAAATGTACAGCTTGGTGAGTTTTTTCATGTTTAAAAACTCATGTAGCTACCATCCAGATCAAAGTATGAAAAATTCCCATCATCCTAGAACAGTAGTGATCATTAGAACTTTCTGTGAAGGTAAAACTGTACATTTCTAGCTCTCTTGTCCAATACTATGTCCATTGAGTGCTTGAAATGTGTATGCAACTGAGGAACTGAATTTTTAATTTTGATAAATTTATTTACATTTAAATAGCCAGATGTATTGGATAGCATAGCTCACTGCTCCCTTAACTCTTTTTTAACTTTTATCACTATAGCTTAGTTTTGTCAGTTTTTGAATCTCATAAATGAAATTATGTTCTGCTTACTTTTTTGTGTTTAACATTTAAAAAAAATTTTTTTAATGTTTATTTATTTTGAGAGATAGAGACAGAGACAGAGCATGAGCAGGGGAGGGGCAGAGAGAGAGGGAGACACAGAATTTGAAGCAGGCTCCAGGCTCTGAGCTGTCAGCACAGAGCTCAAAGCGGGACTCAAAACCATGGACTGAGAGATCATGACCTGAGCCAAAGTTGGACACTTAACTGACATAGCCATCCAGGCGCCCATACTCTTTTGCGTTTACAATTTTTTTTACATTTATTTATTTTTGAGAGAGAGAGACAGAGAGAGAGAGAGAGCACAAGTGGGGGAGGGGCAGAGAGAAAAGGAGACACAGAATCTGAAGCAGGCTTCAGGCTCTGAGCTGTCAGCACAGACCCCGACGCAGGGCTCGAACCCACAAACCGCGAGATCAAGACCTGAGCTGAAGTCGGTTGCTCAACTGACTGAGCCATCCAGGCGCCCCTGTGTTTAAATGGAATCATTCCCACTCTGTGTTGAACTTTTTTTAACTACCACGTGTGAGTTCATCCATATTGTTACCTGAATCAGTATTTGTGTGTGTGTTTTATTACTTTGTAATATTCTATTATGTGAACATGCCACAATTTGCTTGTCCTTTCACCTGCTGATGGAATTTGAGTTGTTGATAGTTTGAGCTATTACAAATAAGTGAACATTCTTATGAGTCTTTCGGTGAACATAGGTTCTTAATTTCTTTTGGATAAATTTCTAAGAGTAGAGTTGTTGGGCCACATGGTAGAAATATATTTTTGCTTTAGTAGATATTGCCAAATTGTCTCCCACAGTGGCTGAACTAGTTTATATTCCCTCCAACAGTGTATAATACTTGGGGTTTATTCCGCATAATCCCTAACATTTGGTTTGTCACCACTCCCAGGTTTGATGATACGCTAGGAGGACACACAGGACTCAGCACATATATATATAGCCATGTTCATAGCTATAAGCTATTATAGTAAAAGGGTACAAAGCAAAATCAGGAACAAGAGGTGGCCCATGGGACAGAGTTTGAGAAATATCAAATACAGGCTTCCAAGAGCCCTCTCCTCGTGTGGTCACAGTCTCCAGTCTATGGCTTATCTGTTCACTTTCTTAATGATGCCTTTTGTTGAATAGGCATTCTTAATTTTAATAAAGTCTGGTCTGTTAATGTTTATCTTATGGGGACAGTGCTTTGTCTCCCTTTTAAGAAATTTTTAACTACCCCATTGTCCTAGAAATAGTCTCTTATGTTTTCTTCTGGAAGCTTTATTGTTTTACCTATTGCATTTATGTTTGTGATCCACCTCAAATTGACTGTGTTTGGTATGAGGAAGTGGTTGATTCTCTTTTCCCTATAAAGAGATGGAGCCGTGTTCCAACACCATTATTCAAAAGACTTGCTTTTTCCTCACAGAATGGCAGTGGTATCTTCTAAATCACATGATCATATGTGTGTTGGTCTGTTTCTGGCTATGTATTCTGTCCATTAGTCTCTTTGTCTATCCTTGTGCTAATAATAGACTATTCTACTGTAACTTACGGTCTTTCTGTCATGTAGCATAAATCTTCTAACTTTGTTCTTCAGGATTATCTTGGCTGCCCATTGCATTCTTATGTAAATTTGAGAATCAGCTTTTCATTTTCCACATACAAAATAATCTTGGTGGGATTTCAGTTCATATTGCATTGAATTTATAAATCAACTTAGGGAGAATTGACATCTTAACAATTTTGAGTCCCATGACCATGAAATACTTCTCACTTTATTTAAGGTTTCTTTTACTTTCCCGTATCAGTGTTTTATAGTTTTTAATGTAGAGGTTTTGCATATCTTTTATTATTAGATTTAATTCAAAAGCTTTGTAATTTCTTAAATGTTACAAATGGCATTTTTAAAAATTCCATTTAAGGGGGCCTGGGTGGCTCAGTCAGTTGAGTGTCTCACTCTTCATTTCAGCTCAGGTTATCATCCCAGGGTCTTGAGATTGAACCCTGCATCAGGCTCCATGGTGAGTCATGAAGCCTGCTTAAGATTCTCTCTCTCCCTCTGCCACTTTCCCTGTCTTGCCCTCTCTCTCTCAAAAAAAAATTTTTTTTCCATTAAAAATTTTTGCCCTGATATGTGGAAACAGTTGATTTTTGTATATGGATTTTGGATCTAGCAATCTAAGTACATTCACTTATTACTTTTAGTAGTTTGTAGATTATTTGGAGTTTTGTTGTTCTTGTTGTTTAGAGAGAGAGGGCATGTAAGTGGGAGAGAGAAGCAGAGGGAGAAAGAGAATCTTAAGCAGGCTCCATGCTCAGCCCAAAACTCAGTGGAGGGCTAGAGATCCCACGACCCTGGGGTCATGACCTGAGCTGAAATCAAGAGTTGGATGCTTAACCAACTGAGCCACCCAGGTGCGCCTGGAGTTTTCTATAGACACACTCATGTTATCTGCTAATATAGAGAGTTTGAATTTGATTTTCCAACCTTTACACTTTTTAATTCATTTTCATGCCTTATTGTACTGTACCACCAGTGCAGTGTGATTAGTATATGGATACTTTCTCTTGTTCTCAGTATCAGGAAGAAAGCATATAATAATCATTGAGGGTATCTAATAGAGGTATCATTTATCATATCAAGGAAGTTGTCTTCTGTTCCTGGTTTTGAGTTTTTGTGTTTTTTTTTTTTTTATGAAGAGGTATTATATTTTATCAAATGCTTTTCCTTCATATTGAGGTTATCATTAAGATAATTGTAAAACTTATTTATTTTTATTTTATTTATTTTTTTTTAAGTTTACTTATTTGTGAGAGAGAGAGAGAGGCAGAGAGGGAGACACAGAATCCGAAGCAGGCTCCAGGCTCCGAGCTGTCAGCACAGAGCCCGATGCGGGGCTTGAACCCACCAACCGTGAGATCATTCCCCGAGCCGAAGTTGGATGCTTAACCAACTGAGCCACCCAGGCGCCCCAAGATAATTGTGAATTTTAAATGAAATAGCACATGATAAATGAATACAGTTCTAGTTCACAATAAGCACTCAGTTCTTAGTTGTTATTCTTCAGAGGACTTTCTCTTTATATAAGTGGCTAGTATTGCTTCTCAAGAGGCAAGGATTTACTTGAAAGTTTTGTAACCAGTTTTTATATTTTGAAGTGGATTGATTAATAATCATAGAGTTAGGTGTTGGGATGTTTGCTTGATAATTTCAAACATGGATTCTGTTAACTCTGTTGTCCATGCTTATACTATTTCTTTGCCAGGTGGCTATCATTTACAAGATTAATGTTTTTGTTTGATAGGCCTTAGCCTTTTTGCTTTATTCTTTTAAAACTGAATTCTATTTTTTAGGTATTCCATTCTTCATTTTTAGTATTAGGACAGAACATTCTTTTTTTTTTTTTTTTTTTTTAATTTTTTTTTTCAACGTTTATTTATTTTTGGGACAGAGAGAGACAGAGCATGAACGGGGGAGGAGCAGAGAGAGAGGGAGACACAGAATCGGAAACAGGCTCCAGGCTCTGAGCCATCAGCCCAGAGCCTGATGCGGGGCTCGAACTCACAGACCGCGAGATCGTGACCTGGCTGAAGTCGGACGCTTAACCGACTGCGCCACCCAGGCGCCCCAGGACAGAACATTCTAATGCTAGAAACCAAGAGTGTATTTTTTTCTAATTTTGTTTTGGTGCATGCAGTTCGCATTGAGATCTTGTGGTATAAACCTTGGTTTTGGAATCCAATGAAACTAGATTTATATTCTAACATTACCACCTACTAACAGTGTTGCTAGTACAAGCTCTGTTTTCTTTCTGAGCCTTGTTTTAATCTCTAAAAGCAAATAATAATAGATTGGTTTGCATTTTTTAAATTTTTGAGTAAATTTTATTTTTACTTTTTTGTAAGAAGGAATTCTCTCAGCCTCATTATTTTGAGATTCATACATTTTGTTATGTATATAAGTACTTCATTCGTTTTTATTGCTTAGTAGTGTTCCATTGCATGGATATGCCACAGTTTGTTTATCTGTTCATTTTTTAATGGATATTCTAAAAATGGCCATAAGGAAACTTTGAGAGGTGATGGATAAATTCATTATTTTGATTTTGGTGATTGTTTTATGGGTATGTACTTATCAAATGTACCCTTTAAATGTCGATTTATACTTCACAAAAGTGGTTAAAAAGTTAAGTGGTTCTAATATCACTGATTGACAAGAAGAAAAGGAAAGTATTTCTATCTTGTTCTAAGATATCTCCAGTTTTAAAACACTACCTATTTATTTGTTTAATAAACAAATATTAAATGGTGTGCCTGGGTGGCTCTGTTGTTTGAGCGTCCGACTCTGGCTCAGGTCATGATCTCATGGTCTCACTGTCCGTGAGTTCGAGCCCTGCGTCGGGCTGTGTGCTGATAGCTCAGAGCCTGGAGCCTGTTTCAGATTCTGTGTCTCCCTCTCTCTCTGCTCCTCCCCCGCTCATGCTCTGTCTCTGTCTCTGTCTCTCTCTCTCTGCAAAAATAAATACTAAAAAAAATTTTTTTTAAATAAACAAATATTAAATACCTTAAAAACCAATAACAGTTTGTATCACTCCGGGTTGTTAAGGATTAAACCACATACTGTGTTTGAAAACATTTGTCATGTAAGTGTCCAGCAAAAGTTAATTTTTTTTTTTACGTCTTTTTTCTTTCCAAGTTTTAATTAACAGTATTCTTATTTTTAACGGGCCAGTTGCATATGTATTATCTTGGTTTGATTGGGTTAATGAAGAGTCCAAGAAAGTTACTCTGGAAGCTCAATCTTTATTTTCTTTTCAAAAGGCTATATACTTCCTTTGTTTATTTTAGATGCTTCATTTTTCATATTCAAATTTATTATCTAAATCTAGAATAATTTAAACTTATTTTTTTCCTCAGCATGCATCATTTTTTTTAGAAATTCATTTTTATATCTTACATTTAGGCAAAGCAGGGCAGATTTTTAGTCTATTTTACTTTCTTTAAAGTTAATCTCACTTAAATTATAATCATTGTATATGTACTTACATAAAATGATTGGAATTCAAAATGATTCCAGTTGAAACACACTTTCACACTTAAGAAATTAGCTTAAAATGTGCCATTAATCAATTGCCTATATCACACAGAAAAATAATTTATATAGATCATTACTTCATAAGAATTTAAGCACTCTTTTGTATTCCTTTCATGTAGATTTAGTTCAACCTAACATTTATGGTTAGAAAAAGCTTAAAGACTACCCAATATTCTAATGCCAGGGCTAGAAGAGAAAACTATGGAGGATCTGTTAGAGCAAGAGTTCGTAAACTAGTGGATTGAACCAAACTAGTAGTTCTCAAGGTTGGCATCAGGTTGGTCTGAGATTCTCTCTTCAGTTTGACGCTTCGTCGTTTTGCCCCTTGATCTTGTGTAGGGCACTTGTTTCTGCGCCTCTGTTTCATCAGTTGTAAAATGCCCTGACCTCTTCTCAGTGCTCACGTGAGATCGTGTATATGAGAAAGCTTTGGGCATATTTAGAAGGGGTAAATATTTAAGTGTATAGTCCACAGGCTACTTCCTGCTGATATTCCTCTTGATCATGTTCTTTTTCACTTAGAGTTCGCCTGAGATTTCCAGGTAGGAAGGGTTGCCAGTGTCTTTTCAACATGTCATTTCTTTCCTATCATCCTGAGATTGCAGGGCTGTTGGACAATGAAAAGTAGCTCCTTCCTAATGGAAAGATTGAAGGCCTGCTTCACTGGGGTTCATTTTTTAATTTGAGGTATTTTGATAATCAATGTGAAGCTCATAATGAAAACCTAAGTATTTTGTCTCTAATTGCTAGCATTTACTGAGTATATGCCAGGCTTTATTCTTCCTGTGCCTTCCCCTCTCTCTGCCCCTCCCCTGCTCATGCTCTCTCTCTCTCTCTCTCTCAAATAAATAAAACATTAAAAAAAGAAAAAACTTCCAAAAATGAGGAAGATAGAAGAAAACAGTTATTTTGTTTGTTGCTATGTGTTTTGAATGCTATAGCTTTACCATGCTTCTATTTTATTATTGACAGATATTTGTGAAAATTATTTATTTTTATGTCATTCGTTCTCAAATGAGGAGTGATTTTTTGACCCCCCAGGGATATTTGGTGATGCCTGGAAACTTTTTTCTGTTTTTTTGTTTGTTTGTTTGTTTTTTGTTTTTGTTGTTTTTGAGAGAGAGAGAGTGTGTGCACATGAGCAAGCAGGGGGAGGGGCAGTGGGAGAGAGAGAATCTGAGGTGGACTCCATATTCAGTGCAGAGCCCGATGCAGGGCTTGATCTCACAACCCTGAGATCATGACCTGAGCTGAAATCAGAAGTCAGATGTTTATCTGACTGAACCACATAGGCACCCCTGGAAACATTTTTTCTTGTCATTAGGTGGAGTGGTGCTGTAAGCATCTGATAGATAGAGGCTATAGATACTGCTAAACATCCTACAATGCGAAGGACACACCCACCACAAAAAAATTATCCAGTCTAAAATGTCATTAGTGCCGAGGCTATGAAACCCTGCTTTACAGTAAGCTCTTGACATCTAGAAGGAATGTATTTATTGTCAAGGTGCTCTAAACACTTACTTCCACTGGGCTTTATCTTACTATGTAGGAATAGAAAAGTCCATGTTTTTCTGGCTTTAACAACGAAGCAGGCAAGCTTTGTTTGGTTGGTCTCTGGATTGTTGAGTGCTTTCATATTTCAGATATAAAATCTAATGGAATCAATTCTCAGAACTTTCCTTAAGTTCCTTTCAGCAGTTTTGAAATGTTTTCTGTCACTCTTATAATGATTCTACAGTTGTATCTTCCTTTAGATTTGCCCTAGCTTCTTTTTTATTTGGGGTTACCATTAAAATATATAATGTCTCTGATTCCTAAAACAAAAATCCAAATACTTCTTGTGGGAATTAGTATTTAGAATGTCTTTGGAACCTAAACTCAAAGCAGCTTTGCCAACATAAGACTTAGTTATTTGGGGTCTTTTAGTTGAGATTCAAACATTTGCCTTTATTTTAATTTCCATATTTATCAATTTTCTTCTCTTACTAGTTGTAATAAAAACCTGGTTGTAACTAATGATGATACACATAAACATATCATTAGGACTTCATTTCTTATCATTAATAGGCAGGAAAATGTTCAGTGCACCCAAATTCCTGTCTTTTGGCTGTTAATCCTGTCAAGAAAAACATGATAATCTTATTTGTTGGGGGGGAGGTATGCTGAAAGTCATATTTGTTATTAATTTGTTAATTTTTTATGTAGGTTCTAAAAAACTTGTGAATTTCTCTGAATTCTTTTAAATACAGATTTTGTGACTGCTAGAGATGAAATAATTGTTGTCTTTATTTTTATAGTTCTGCTTTTTCTAAAAAAAGCTGTTCATGAGCTTTGTCCTTTTGTGCTTCACAGGAACCAGCACCTATGACAGAAGATCTGCTGGAGGAGCAGTCGGAGGTTCTAGCTAAATTAGGAACATCAGCAGAAGGGGCTCACCTCCGAGCACGCATGCAGAGTGCCTGTCTGCTCTCAGATATGGAGTCTTTTAAGGTGGGTCACACTGTCAGAGCTTCGGAGTCTGTTTGGAGCTATTCTGGGATGAAGCTGTGAAAGTCACTCTTTAAAGTGGTGTGGAGGCTTGAATGTCTTTTTTATTAAATGTTTTGAGATCATTAGTAGTTACAGCATCCTACGTTTATGTCCTAAAGGTCATAGCCAGACTTGGTTCTTAAATTTAAAACAAGAAAAGAACAATCTTTGAATAGTAGTTGGAAGTTGAGAATTGAATCATTTCTGTATGTGCATTGGAATGTTTTTCTCCTTTATGTGTTTATCCAATTTAATGCACAGCTTTTAGGAAACCCTTGAGATTTAACATAGGCTGCTTGATTATACTCAGTTACAGTCTACTGAAGTTTTGGAGGGAGATATGTAAATAGTTATGTGATGAGTTCACTTAGGAAGGCAGTGTTAGAAAGGTGACTGACTCTACTGAGTGGGTCATGGAGGGTTTCTCAGAAGAGTCACTACTTTAGGGTAAGTAGGCATTTGCTACCTGAAGAAGAATATTTTAGGGTTAGATATAGTCCTGTGTTGGAACATAGAGGATTCAGAGAATGGTGACATTTGGCTTATTAGCTTAAAAACCCAGGGATGAAAAAGGTCTTTTTTTTTTTTTTTTCAATGTGTATTTATTTATTTTTTATAGAGAGAGGATTCGAAGCAGGCTCTGCGCTGACAGCAGCAAGCCTGATGCAGGGCTCGAACTCATGAACCATGAGATCATGACTTGAGCTGAAGTCAGCACTCAATCAACTGAGCCATCCAGATGCCCTTGTTTTTGAATTACTTATTCTTGAAAGTAGAGGCAAGGCCATGTATATTAAAACAAACAGAACAAAAACCCCAAGTGGGTAGCCTGGTGGGCCATAGGCCTTCCCTGTGCCTCCTGCTGATACTCTGAACTGTTTCCCATGCCCAGATTTTCCTCCTTGACCTGCTGCTATCTGTGATGGTCTCCATCTCCCTGTTCCATAGCCTCCAATCAGTCCTGCTTTTGTGCTGTATGCCAACTTGAGTTTCATTTTTTTCAACAGAAACAACTTATGAAAACGTATGTCACTTTTATCTTCCCTGTTAGCAGATTGTAGGACAGTAAAAGGGAATGCTTTTATTCCCTGCTTATTTCCCCCATCTTTATCAAAAGAAAAAAAAGTCTTTAGTAAACTTCTTGATAGGTACATGTTTTTCTTAGAGACTAAGAAGATAGGGAATATCTGTGCGTTTTGTTCTGCCATGAGACAAAAGAGATGTATTGTTTTAAAACAAAATAGTAACAATGGAAAAAGAGAGGACAGTTGGCTCTCAGGGCATGTGTTAAATCAAAAAGGTAGGAAAAGGGAATTGGCTTATGATGTATGTGCACAACAGGAAGTACCAGCCTCTGTAGCAGTTGTTTTCCTACCTGACCTCTAGCTGCCTTCATATTTATCTGCCCCTGTGCTGCTACCGCATCCTTGCAGAGGCACTTCTAGGAGGAAATTCATAATCGAAACTGTAAAAGCTTTCCTCTAGAAACATATTAGCCCCTTATGGGAAGGTTCTGTGTGATTCCAACACTGTACCTCAGCAAAACTAAGCTCATTCAACTCTTTTAGACTCATTTGGGTACCTGCAAATCTCTTAAAATATTCTTTTAATAAAAAGATTATATTTCAAATAGCCAACTTAACACATCTGCCCCTGCCTATGTGGGAATCAGTTAATAGGTTTAAGGAAAGACATAGTCACTCTAAAGTAGATATGGTTGCCTCTCCTTTTTTATATGCGGGTGACTAGTATTAGGGGCCCTTAGGAGAGTCTGCAGAGCTTTGGGTGGATGCTGATAGGTACCTTAGGTACATGCCCCTCTCAGTTCCAGAAGGGCAGGACCTATTCTCAAGCATTTTCTTGTAGTACATACCTGTAACAGTAGAAAGAAAACACAGCTGAAGTGAGCCTTGACCCTTTTTTGGTAGCTGTAGGTTAAGCCTGGTACATGGTACAGTAAGGCAAGCCAGAAGGAAGAATTTTGGTGTGAAAGGTCTTTTTTAACTTGTGTACTACGGGATGTTTTTATGTGGGTGTGGTGTTGCCTGGTTAATAACCAGATCTTTGTACATGAATCCTGAGTCATGCAGTAATCTTGACCCATTACTGTTTGCAGCATTTTTTTATTGCCATGATGCCATAGTCGTTGGAAGTTTATGTTGCTGACTCTCAGTTAAGAATCTTCCGCTGAGTCCTCATCCCTCAGGAGAATTTCTTGAATTGATAGGGATGGTGAAGCTGGTTGTCAGGGGACTCAGTGAGGACAAATGGGCAGTTTTGCTCTTCACATTTAAGGCTACTATTCTTATCATGTCTGTTTTCATTTTGGTCTGGAGTTATTTTAATTTAAAAAGGAAGAAAATGACCTTTCTGCTTTTTTTTTTTTAACGTTTTATTTATTTTTGAGACAGGGAGAGACAGAGCATGAACGGGAGAGGGTCAGAGAGAGAGGGAGACACAGAATCTGAAACAGGCTCCAGGTTCTGAGCAGTCAGCACAGAGCCCAGCATGGGGCTCGAACTCACAGACAGTGAGATCGTGACCTGAGCCAAAGTCGGACGCTTAACCAACTGAGCCACCCAGGTGCCCCGACCTTTCTGCTTAGTAGCACATTCTTGTTAATATTTATATCACTTAACTATTATAGGCAAATAAAATAGTACCTATAGCAGGAAGTATATGTTGTGGTAGAGAATATAACTAAAAAGGTATGTGTTTAATGTGTGTACACATATTCTTTTGAGTTTGTGTATATATACATACATACATGCCCATCCTTAGTACTCTACTAATACATCACTGGACACTTGCAAGAAGACTTCCATGCCTTACCACTAACACTGTGAAGCCTCTACTTTTTTTCCAGGCTTGAATGTAGAATTGCTTAAGAACTTTGGCATGCATCATCATTAATTCTATAGACTTATCCAGTAAATGAAAGTTCAATTAGTTGGTTTCAGAAGCTGAAAAGCAATAGTTAGAATTCCAGTTCCTTAACAACACAAAAGCAATGTATGTGATGGTAATTTGTTGTATAAAGTACAAGAATTTGATGACTGAATAGAACATTTCTGAGGTTGGCTGATACTTACTGCAGTACCAGTATTGATTTTTGAGAGAAAAAAAAGAGTAGAACTTTTCCATTATTGTGTTATTATTCTAATTGTGTTGTGTATTATTTAATTACTTGAGTCAAGCTTATTTGATACTTTTCCAACTATTGAGTACTTTTCCAACTATTGAGTAGTTACTATGCTATAATTTTAAACTAACTTATATAACTTATAATCCACTTAAGAGAGTTATTTTCATTTTACAACAGATTTTTTTGTCTAAATTCACCGAAGGAAAATGTGTTCTTTTTCTGTGAAGTGGAGACAACAAAAGAAAATGGTTTTGGTACTTGAACATCTGGCCTCTTTTAAAGGCTACCCCCACACTCAGGTCACATATTAGATTTTGTAAAGATTAGGTAATTTTTGGTGAAAGTATGATTTTGCAAACAAGCTTATCACTAACTGTTGATTGTTACTGGATTCTGCTGAACTTTTTTTGCCTTATTTTAGGCAGCGAATCCAGGTTGTTTCCTGGAAGATTTTGTGAGGTGGTACTCACCCCGGGATTATATTGAAGAGGAAGTCATTGATGAAAAGGGCAACATGGTTCTGAAAGGAGAACTGAGTGCCCGAATGAAGATTCCAAGCAATATGTGGGTAGAAGCCTGGGAAACAGCTAAACCAATTCCTGCCAGAAGGCAGAGGAGACTTTTTGATGATACGCGGGAAGCAGAAAAGGTAACTGAGGTTTGGGTATCTAACACTAGAAAGCTAACTATTGTTCTAACATTTTTAAAACTTACTATAATAGATGTTTAAGCCTTAGACACACTTGAGAAGCAAAGCATTAAAATTTAATGAGCCTTTTATGTATCTGCTATTCATATTTAAGATTTTAAAACTACTTCCAAATAGGCCAAAGAATAAGACATGCATATTTTATATAGAATGCTTACCATCGGACTGCCTCATAGCATATGACAAAAGATGGTCACATCCTTTGACCTAGCAGTTTTATTACCAAAACAGTTTGTTAAAGAAACAATGAGAAATACATAAAGATTAATGTATAAGAATGGTGTTCAACAAAGTTTTCTAGTGACAAAGTAGACACAATAAAAGCTTCCGAAAATAAGCTTGGTTTAATAAATTATGGTATAATCCATTTAGTGGACTGCTTTGTAATTGTCAAAAAACATTTGGAGTTCTGGAGAATAATGACAGCTACCTGATAACAAATTGTCCTACGCTTTCTCCCTCCCAGCTATCCCCCAAACCCCATGAAATTAATAAGTAAGTAAATCTATGCCTTTGGCATTACTAAGAGATAGAGACCTTAGTGACCTTCAAATTAACTCTAAGTTGGGAAATAAGCCAAATTTCAAAGGAGGTCCCAGTACTGTAAGCCTGTGGGTGTAGAGAGCAGGGCAGGGAGTCTTCAGAAGAGCTGAGGGATGCAGAAGACTTAGATGGAGCACAGAGCCACCCCAGAAGGAGAGAGCCTAACATTAATACTCAGTGCAGGTATGGCTTGATAATTCACAGCACTGGCTACAGAGAAGGGACTTTTTTTTTTTTTTTTTTAATTTTTTTTTTCAACGTTTATTTATTTTTGGGACAGAGAGAGACAGAGCATGAACGGGGGAGGGGCAGAGAGAGAGGGAGACACAGAATCGGAAACAGGCTCCAGGCTCCGAGCCATCAGCCCAGAGCCTGACACGGGGCTCGAACTCACGGAGCGCGAGATCGTGACCTGGCTGAAGTCGGACGCTTAACCGACTGCGCCACCCAGGCGCCCGAGAAGGGACTTTAAAGTAGGATTAGAAGTAGAAGTAGATACTCAGACGTTGCCTTGGGAAGAACTAGATATATGGAGAAGGAATTGCCCCTTTGAGATTAAATGGTGATGGGAAAAAAGGAATAAGGGGGAAGTTAGGAATCCTGCAGAAATGCAAGAGAAATAAAACCTATCAATCTCTGTCACCTCCCCTTCTCCCAATCCATTAAAGAAATGGTGCAGAAGAGAGCACTTTTAAACTGTGACATGACTAGGACTAGTAAAGAGCAGACCATATCCATACAAAACTACTATAAAAACAAAACAAAACAGAAAATGCAGATTGGGTCATTTCAGCTAATGAAAACATTTCCCACAAAATTGACCACGAAACAGGAAAAAATTGTAACACTACAAAGAAGTAAGTTGTCTTCAAACCAGCATGGGGAATATGAAGAATCATGTTTAATCAGATATACTAAGAGCCAAGAGCAGAAATGGACCAAAAAACTCCATGAAGAAATGAAGCCACAGCTGGTTTAACTCTCAGGATAGGAGTAGAAGAAAAAGACAACCATATCAAAAATAAAGACTAAATTACAAAGGGCCTATAGGAGAATAGATTTACATTTAAGTTTGATAAAAGTAAACAAGGAAAAACAGCAAAAACAGCCAAGAGAATGAAAATGGATGAATAAAGGAGTTGAAGAGAAACTAGTAAAAATGGAAGATAGGAAAAGAAGAAGTAATATTCATTTTATCAGAGTCTTTGAAGAGGAAAAACCAAAACACTGGATCAGAACTAATATTTGAAACTGCAATCCAAGAAACCTTTCTGGAAATAAAAGAAAACCTGAATTTATATATTGAAAGAGCTCCCTGGGTATAGAGGAAGATGCACCAGAAGTAATGAACTCCAAAATACATCACTATAAAACTGTTAGAACTTAAATATTTAAAGAAAAAAAATTCTCAGGACTTCTAGGCAAAGAAATGAAAATAATTTACAAGGAAAGAGAATTAGATGTCAGATTTCTCAAAAGCAAGGCAATATGGAGCAGCATTTTCAAGAACTGTAAGTAAAAATTATAAGCCAAAGATACTGTATGCCACCAAAGTGTCCACATAGTCAAGACTATAAAAATATTTTCTCTGAGTTTTTGTACACACACATTTCTGTACATACTCACCCTTCCTGAGGAATCTACTAGAGCTGCCCTAATAGAACGTTCTGCAGTGTTAGAAACATTCTATTGCTGTGATGTCCAAAATTATAGCTACTGGGCATATGTGGCTATGATGAAAACTTGAAATGTGGCTAGTATAACAAATTTTAAGTGGCTACATGTGGCTAGTTGCTTCCTTATTTAACAACATACAGGAGGATAAACTTCATCCAACCAAGATGTGACTGGGGAAACTTTGACAGAGGGCCTGTGGTGAGCATTTTATTTCTTTAATTTTAGAGCTAAGACTAAAACTGAGGATATAGGTAGAAGAAGATGTAAAAATTGTAGTAGAATGAGAAGTTGGGACAAAAAGAGGATGGGGGGGGAGGGAAGTAGAATGAGATCATTGATTTAAATATAAATAGATAATAAGTGGTAATTAGAAAATACCCATTTAAAAATGGGTTCCACGCTGATTATGGAGCCTGCTTAAAATTCTCTCTCTCTCCCTCCCTTTGCCCCTCTCCCCAGCTCATGTTCTTTCTCTGTCTCTTTCAAAATATGAAGTAGAATAGATTAAATTAAATTAAGTTAAATTAAAATGTCAGACCAATTGCAAATACTTAGAGTTAAAGGGAATTAAGGGCACAAAAAATGTATTACTGCAAAGATAGCTACTAAAATAAAAATACAGAACTTCCTAAGGACCAGCAAAAATTGTTTTAAAAAGAAAGAACACACAACAGATAAACACACATAACAATGATCACATCACACACAGAATAAGTCCTGTAAAATCCAAGTGTCTGCTACAAACAAGGGATTCATTGATTCAAAAAGGCTACAAAGTCAGAATGGCTAAAATAAAAAAGGTAAGAAATAACAAGTGTCGACAAAGATTTGGAGAAAAAGGAACCCTCATGCATGGTGGGAATGCAAATTGGTGCATCCATTATAGAAAGTAGTATGGAGGTTCCTCAAAAAACTAAAAATAGAATTAACATGTGATCCAATAATTTTACTATTGGGTATTTACCCAAAGAAAATGAAATCACAAATTCGAAAAGATAGTTGTTCCCCTGTGTTTATTGCAGCATTATTCACAAGATCCAAGATTTAGGAGCCACTGGAGTGTCTTTTGATAGATAAATGGCTAAAGAAGATGTGGTATATGTCTATAATGGAATATTACTCATCCATAAAAAAGAATAAGATGTGGCCATTTGCAGCAACATGGATAGATCTGGAAGATATCATGCTAAGTGAAATAAGTTAGTCAGGGAAAGACAAATACCATATGATTTCACGAATATGTGAAACTTAAGAAACAAAACAGGGGTGCCTGGGTGGCTCAGTTGGTTAAGTATCGATTTTTGATTTCTGCTCAAGTCATGATCTCACAGTTCGTGAATTCGAGACCCACGTTGGGCTCTGTGCTGAACAGTGTGGAGCCTGCTTGGAATTCTCTCTCTTCCCCCCTCACTCTGCCCCTTCCCCCGTCTCAAAAATAAATAAACTTTTAAAAAAAACCTTAAAAAAAAAACAAAACAAAACACTGAAACACAAGAAACAAGACAACTGAATAAAGAGAAAAAAAATGGACCCTTAAGAATAGAGAACAAACTGATGCCTGCCAGAGGGAGGATGTGTAGGGTTGTGAGTGAAATAGAAAAAGAGGATTACGAGTACACGTTTACTGCGATGATCACAGAGAAGTGATAAAATTGTTGAAGCATTATTATTGCCTTAAACTAATATAACACTGTATTGTTAGTTATGCTTCAAAAATCAATCAAAAGTAAAAAAAAAATACATAGAATAGAGATATGATTAGAGTAAGGGTATAGCCACATTATTCCTTTAGTTTTCTGCCTATGGTTAATTATATAATTAAATTTATTTTATCATATACACAAAAAGAAGGTTACAAAGTAAATAATGGACAGATTCATCAGGTACCTGAAAGCAATAAAAAAAGGGGTTATGATCCTGATATGAAATAAGGTAGAATTAAAGCAGAAGAGCATTAAAAGATGCTTTATAAGCTAAAAATGGTATGTCACAATGAGGGTATAATATTTGTTAATGTTTATACATTAGATAACAGCCATCTGTGTAAAATAGGAAACCATAGGAAGTAAGGGAAGAAACAGATTGAAACATACTCATAACAGAGGACTTTGACCACATTACTCTTTATACAAGACAATCAAGTAGTCAAAACTAAGGAAATATCTAAATAAGATAGTAAGGCTGATCTTTTAGATATATCCCAAACACTGTACCTTAGCAATAGAAGCTGTACCTTCTTTTCACATGCACATGGAGCATTCACAAAAACTGATAGTATATTAGGGCACAAAAAAAACACAGCAGGATTCATCATGAAAATATTATCAGTACTCTGATCTCTGCAATAAAACTAGAGATTAAAAATGAAACAGCAATAACAAGGGATGCCTGGGTGGCTTAGTTGGTTAAGCATCTGACTTTTGATCTCAGCTCAGGTCTTAGTCTCAGGGTCATGAGTTCAAGCCCCACACTAGGCTCCACACAGCCTATTTAAATATAGAAAGAAACAACAAAAAAAATCTAGGGCTTCTCCCTGGAAATTTAAAAGCCTTATATTAACTTTTAGGTAAAGGAGAAATACTAAAACAAACTTCTGAAAAATAACGAAAACACTGTATATCCGAATCTATAAGACATATTTAAGGAGTGATGAAAGCAAAATCCATAGCCCTAAATACCTACGTCACGAAAATAGAAGGCGTGCATGCTGGCTCAGTCAG